CCCCCCCTCCCCCATCAGATGTTAGGTCTGTCTGTTAACAGGAGTATTCAACATCCATGTTTATCGTTTAGTGACTCCGACTTATCAATGACATGTAACTTGTATGTTTATTTCATGGTCCATATTACTATGATAATGATATGTCTTGTACATTTCGGTGGCAGTCATAAATTATGAAATAGTGTTTATATCCTGCAATAAGCCCATGGGGGTCTACACTTGAACTCTGACACAAAGAAGATGGGTAAGCTTATTACAGGACAATGAAATAGCATTTTTTGACATTTCTACTAAACTGTTATATTTGGGTGGGCTTATTACCAGGCATGGGCTTATTGCAGGATAAATACGGTATCATGTTAATTTTGCTGGAAATAATTTGGTTTAATCTTTCGATGATGATAACTTCTATACTAATTCAACAAGAGGCCCAAATGGGCCTGCATCGCTCACCTGGTATAAATCTCATACTTGTAACCTTAAAAGAGATCTAAAATAAAGCTACAGGCAAAATATCAGTATTTATGATTAAAATTCATTCAAAAGAACCTGTTATTTTTTTTTAAAACATTTCACCCCTGTGATTGAAAGTCGAACAAAGTCATTATGTTGAACAAAGTTTATAGCCTTTCATCTCAGGATGCAACTTGCAAAGTATCAACATCCTGGGACCCATGGTTATTCAGAAAGGTCGTTTAAAGATTTTAAACAAATTTGACCCCAGTGACCTTGAATATCAGTCAAAGTCATTCACTTTAACAAACATAGTAGTCCTTGATCCCAGCATGCTACTGACTAAATATCAACATCCTGAGCCTTTTGGTTATTCAGAACAAGTTGTTTAAATATTTTGAACATATTTGCTCCTTGTGACCTTGAATATGATTCAAGGTCATCCATTTAAACAAACTTGGTAGCCCTTGATCCTAGTATGCTACTGACTAAATATCATCACCCTGGGCATTTTGGTTATTCAGTAGAAGTTGTTTAAAGTTTTTAACATATTTGACCCCTGTGACCTTGAATATGGGTGAAGGTCATTCATTTGAACAAACTTTGTAGCCCTTCACCCATGCATGCTACTGGCCAAATATCATCACCCTAGGCAGTTTGGTTATCGAGAAGAAGATGTTTAAATTTTTTAAACATATTTGAACCCTGTGACCTTGAAAATGAGTGAAGGTCATTAATTTTAACAAACTTAGTAGCCCTTCATCCCAGTTTGCTTCGCCGGACGGACGGATGACGCGCCACGGCATAAGCTCACTTGGCACTTCGTGCCAGGTGAGCTAAAAATGACATAGATTTTCATCAGATCTATTTTTCTATAGAAAGATTATGACCACAAAAGTAGAGAAAAAAGGTAGAACGTACCACACAAAAAGTTGATACTGTACTACATGGGTATAGACTGTACAGATCTGCAGATGAAATGAACTGACCAAGACCACAAAACCCTATCATCGTTTACCATTTTAGTAAATTTACTATCCCCACCCTTTCTCCTAGCTATTTTGTCTCTAACTTCCACACTAATTGACAGTTGAGATCTATAGCTAACTATACCTACATTGGATGTAAGACAAACAGAGCCTAGAAGTGTGGCCCATTATAGAAGCCTTCAACAAGTCTTGGAATCAATTCATGAGCTAATGGCTCCTTTGATGAGCACCAATCTGACCTCTGGGAGCGGTCATTGCGATGGAATTGTCATTTTATGTGAAATAAGCAGATGTCCAATTAGTATGGACCTAATCTTGAGTATAAGTATTTCCCTTTAATGATGTGAAGACAGTGCTGGATTAAAGTAATCGGACACCAGAAACTGACAGTGGTCAGTCTCTGAGGCCAGTGATTACACAAGTGACCAGACACTTTATGAGTTAACTCTAAACTGATGTGTATTCCTAGTCCTGGGGTCAGTCTCAGAGGTCAGTTCCTGTACACAAGTGACCAGACACTTAATGATTATGTTATGGTGTACATGTGTATTCCTAGTATTGGTCAGTCAGGACATTTCCCTGAGAAAGATCAGTCTTTGAGGTCAGTAATTATTTACATATGACCAGACACATTATGATTATGTTATGGTGTGTATTCCTTGTATTGGTCAGTCAGGACATCTCCCTGACAGGGGTCAGTCTGATAGGTCAGTTCCTTTACACAAATGACCAGACACATTATAATTATGTTATGGTGTGTATTCCTAGTATTTGTCAGTCAGGACATTTCCCTGACAGGGGTCAGTCTGATAGGTCAGTTCCTATACACAAGTGACCAGACACTTTATGATTATGCTATAGTGTGTATTCCTAGTATTGGTCAGTCAGGACATTTCCCTGACAGGGGTCAGTCTGAGAGTACACAAATGACTAGACAAATTATGCTAGTTTTTGATGTGTATTACTAGGAATGGCCAGTCAGGACATCTCCCTGAAACAGCTAGGTCAGTTCTTATACACAGCTGACCAGACACAATATGATTATATTTCTGGTGTGTATTTGTGAGGACATCTAGTATTGCATGGTCAGTCAGAACTTCTCAAAGACAGTGGTCAGTCTGAGAGGTCAGTTTCTGTACACAAGTAACCAGACACATTATAATTATGTCTATAATGTGTGGTCCTAGAATTGGTCAGTGCAGGATAACTCCCTGAGAAAGACCAGTCTGTGAGGTCAGTAAATATTCACATATGACCAGACACATTATGATTATGTTATGGTGTGTATTCCTTGTATTGGTCAGTCAGGACATCTCCCTGACAGGGGTCAGTCTGATAGGTCAGTTCCTTTACACAAATGACCAGACACATTATAATTATGTTATGGTGTGTATTCCTAGTATTTGTCAGTCAGGACATCTCCCTGACAGGGGTCAGTCTGTGAGGTCAGTTGATATTCACAGGTGACCAGACATGTTATGATTATGTTATGGTGTGTATTCCTAGTATTTGTCAGTCAGGACATCTCCCTGACAGGGGTCAGTCTGATAGGTTAGTTCCTGTACACAAATGACCAGACACTTTATGATTATGTTATAGTGTGTATTTTTGTGAGGACATCTCGTATTGGTCAGTCAGAACATCTCCCTGACAGTGATCAGTCTGAGAGGTCAGTTTCTGTACACAAGTAATCAGACACATTATAATTATGTTTATGATGTGTAGTCCTAGTATTGTCAGTGCAGGATAACTCTCTGAGAAAGGTTAGTCTGTGAGGTCAGTTGATATTCACAGGTGACCAGACATGTTATGATTATGTTATGGTGTGTATTCCTTGTATTGGTCAGTCAGGACATCTCCCTGAAACAGCTAGGTCAGTTCTTATACACAGCTGACCAGACACAATATGATTATATTTCTGGTGTGTATTTGTGAGGACATCTAGTATTGCATGGTCAGTCTGAACTTCTCAAAGACAGTGGTCAGTCTGAGAGGTCAGTCCTTGTACACAGGTGACCAGACTCCTTTTGATTATCTTTCTTGGTGTGTATTTCTAGTAGTGGTATGTGAGGATATCTAGTACTGGTCCGTCAGGTCATCTAAAAGACAATGGTCAGTCCAAGAGGTCAGAACTTATACATGATTAAGTGACCATTTACATTACATCTTTGTTGTGGTGAGGACATCTCCCTGACAGTGGTCAGTCTGAGAGGTCAGTTTCTGTACACAAGTAACCAGACACATTATAATTATGTTATGGTGTGTCTTCCTTGTATTGGTCATTCAGGACATCTCCCTGACAGTGGTCAGTCTGAGAGGTCAGTCCTTGTACACAGGTGACCAGACTCCTTTTGATTATCTTTCTTGGTGTGTATTTCTAGTAGTGGCATGTGAGGATATCTAGTACTGGTCAGTCAGGTCATCTAAAAGACAATGGTCAGTCCAAGAGGTCAGAACTTATAC